GGAAAAATAGAAAATCTTACCGGCGAATACCGGTAATTTTCATCAACCCATTATCCATTCTCCACGTCCGATTTCGTCTGATTTCCCTCTTTGGAGAGGCTGTGTAACGCTAATGTTAATTAGCCACCTTGTGCCTAAGGAAAGGAGAGCCTGGCCTAATTTTTGATTCTTCTTTTTTTTTTTTTTTAGTTTTATCACGCGTCGATTAAGGATTTGTCTGTACATAGATTGGATCGTTTTCGCAATTTTTCACACGAGATCGAATCCGCGAGATGAAGAAGAATTTTGGAAAGTTCTTGGAAAAGTGAAACAGTTGCTCCTTTCGAATTTCACAGATCGCTGGGAGAATCCGTGAAAGAGACATCAATGATCCGTGAAACCCAGTTTTGCGGTGATCCAAATAAAAGTAAGACGCGACGCTAAGAATCTTTCAACGATATATATATATATATATATATATATATATATACTATACTAATACTCTCTTCTTTTCTTTCGAAACTAACGAATTAATAAAATTCCGTGAATCTATCCTCGTTATCGAAACAAGTTACAACTCGTTACGAATTATTAAAAGGATTTTAATTTTTCCTTTTCCGGGAACAAAATTCCAATTATTATTATTTCTCGCTTCCGTTTTCTATCCCCTCCATGCTCGAGTTCTTCGTTATCGCGCGTGCGAAAGAAAGAAAGAAAGAAAGAAAGAAAGAAAGAAAAGGAAAGAAGAACGTCGCGTTATCTAAATGCACGTTACGCAGATATGTATTGAGTTCAAGAGATCACCGGATGGTTTAGAGGTTCGCCTGCCGCGTGATGACCGGAAGTTGGCGATACCGTAATGTTCGGGTATACCGGGCGAACCGGAAGCCGGGGCTCTCCACGTGTGCTACAGAGACGAAACGGAGGATCGTGGGAGGGGGGAGGGGCCGAGAAGGAGACCGATGGTCAGCAGTCGGTTGAGACTTTCTTAACGAACGACTCAATAAATCGATCACGTAAAAGAAACTTATGCGCAATGGTTCTCGAATATGTTACGGTGAGTTATTATTATTATTATTATTAAAGGACACCTCCCACCTCCCCCCCCCTCTCTCCCTCGATTAATTTTCACGAGGATGATGCTCGATTTCGTAACACAACTCGTCAATTCAATTTGCTTTGTGCAATTGGGGGGAAATCTTGTGTCGTTTTTTAGAGAGAAGTTTTATTATTATTATTATATCGTCGGCTTGTCGATTGCTGATAAAGATTCTAATTATGTAATAGGATTACAGAAAGATTCGTGTTCCATTATGATTCGTGGAAATAAAAAACATATATATATATATATATATATATATATATATACATCTAAATACGCTCTTCTTTTCTTTCGAAACTAACGAATTAATAAAATTCCGTGAATCTATCCTCGTTATCGAAACAAGTTACAACTCGTTACGAATTATTAAAAAGGATTTTAATTTTTCCTTTTCCGGGAACAAAATTCCAATTATTATTATTTCTCGCTTCCGTTTTCTATCCCCTCCATGCTCGAGTTCTTCGTTATCGCGCGTGCGAAAGAAAGAAAGAAAGAAAGAAAGAAAGAAAGAAAAGGAAAGAAGAACGTCGCGTTATCTAAATGCACGTTACGCAGATATGTATTGAGTTCAAGAGATCACCGGATGGTTTAGAGGTTCGCCTGCCGCGTGATGACCGGAAGTTGGCGATACCGTAATGTTCGGGTATACCGGGCGAACCGGAAGCCGGGGCTCTCCACGTGTGCTACAGAGACGAAACGGAGGATCGTGGGAGGGGGGAGGGGCCGAGAAGGAGACCGATGGTCAGCAGTCGGTTGAGACTTTCTTAACGAACGACTCAATAAATCGATCACGTAAAAGAAACTTATGCGCAATGGTTCTCGAATATGTTACGGTGAGTTATTATTATTATTATTATTAAAGGACACCTCCCACCTCCCCCCCCCCTCTCCCTCGATTAATTTTCACGAGGATGATGCTCGATTTCGTAACACAACTCGTCAATTCAATTTGCTTTGTGCAATTGGGGGGAAATCTTGTGTCGTTTTTTAGAGAGAAGTTTTATTATTATTATTATATCGTCGGCTTGTCGATTGCTGATAAAGATTCTAATTATGTAATAGGATTACAGAAAGATTCGTGTTCCATTATGATTCGTGGAAATAAAAAGGAGACTATCCGGAGCTCCAGTTACTCTTCCATCAGTTACAAGTATATATCGATTCTATCAGGACTTTCACGACTTTCACAGTTAATCGCGTAGGAATAACTGCTACGACCAAATCGTAACACGATGATTTCTTCGATTTTTAAAGGGAAAAAAAGAAGATCAAGAAGAAATTTGCCGTATACGACACAATTTTCCCAAGAAAATTCAAACAACCTACAACTCTTCCAAACTTGCATTCTGCGACGAGAATCGATCGCAAGCTTTCCAATAACCGTATCCTCGATTTCTTCGATTTTTAAAGGGAAAAAAGAATCAAGAAGAAAATTCAAACAAGCTACAACTCTTCCAAACTTGCATTTTGCGACGAGAATCGATCGATCGGAGAAATAGAAACAGGGTTTCGAGGTTAGGTTCGCAAGCTTTCCAATCCTCCCCTCCCAATCTTCTCTGCCGCCGCATCTTCTCTGCGGATACCGATTCCAGCGGATGGCTCGAAACAGGGGAGGTTTAAAATGGTTTTTTCCCGTATAAAAAAAGACACACTCCTCCCTCCCCCTCGTAATAATCGAGAAAGCTCGGTTATAAAAGCGTGGCGGCGGTGCCGATGGTGGAAGCGGCGTCGTCGTCGTCGTCGTCGTCGTCGTCGTCGTCGGCGGCGGCGATCACGATCTCACCGCATCTAAAATCACCCGGCGGTCCTCGTGATTGTATTAATTCACTTGACAGAATACAGAATACGGGACGCAGAGTGTATACAGATGCGACCGGGTTGCCGGTGTTGGATGTAGTTGTATTGTCTTCTCGGCTCCTTTCTCGCATTAGCATAAGAATTCAGCGTGTACATGATCCGCGTATCAATCGGCGTCCCGGTGAATCAAGACTTAAATCTTGCACCATGATCACCCGGCCGACGCTCGAATGTTGAAATATCGTCATCAAACGATTGGAAACCAAGCGGGGATGGAGGGGCGGGGGGGAGGGAGGGGGCACCCAACCGTTCGCCCAACCGGTGATTCTCTGGAGAGCGGAGAGAAGGTTTCTGGGAAAGGGTTATATGGAGGCCCGCGTTGCGAAACGTGTCGGAGAAATTTGTCATTCAACTTTTTTTGTTTCTTCTTGCTCGTTCTTTTTCCGTGGTTTCTTCTTCTTCTTCTTCTTGGTTTTCGGAGTTCTCGAGGAGGAAGAGGGGAAAGGGGGAATCGTTGAATTTGAACCTCGTTTGAAGAAGTCGGTGGATTGAAGAAGAGTAGTTTTTTTTTTTTTTTATATAAAGGAAGATTGAAATTAATAGTTGATTTGATTTTTATATTATATTATTGTCGTTAAGAGATATTTAACACGTTCTGTGTTACTAGAGTTTATAATATTTCAAAAAGAAAGAGATGTATCTTCCTCTGAAGATATTAATTAATATTCTGGCTTTGTATCTATCAGCCGCGAGAAAGTTCAAGAGGTCGTAAAAATCGCAAGATGCTTTGTATCAGTTTCATTTCAGGAATTTCGTTTCGCCTTTTATCTTTTTCGAGGCGAAGGAGTCCCGATTTCTCAAATTTATATCGAGTCAGTTCCAGAATATTAAATCGAAAACCTTCTATGGTTCAGCTCGACCCGAATCGGGCACAATTATGAAGATAAATTCGAAAAACAGTCAGTCCAAACAGGACGATGAAGCTGCACGTTCGACGTCCTAACGGGAGAGCCGGTTAGAATCGCTAGAATAAATTGAAATCAACGTCCACTTCCTGACAACAAAATCCTTTCATCTCCTCTATCGATATCTTCGATATCTTTTCTACTAAATACTACAAATCGTATATAGATCTCGTTCAGTCAACTTCTATCTAATTTATTAATATTAATCTTTCATTCCAAATACTTCATAAAAATTCGTTGAGTCTAATACAAAAAAATAATGGAACGCGCAATATATCAACGCGCAATTTTACGCGAGCATCTGTCCGAGCATGGTGCAGATGACGCAGTTCTAAGCGGAATGGAATGGAGAGGTGGAACGGGGACGTTGGATCGATCGAAATGGTCTCAGGACGATGAAGGAGGAAAGCTGGGTTGTTTTCTCTTGCAACGAGGAAGATTGAAATGGCGGGAGAGCGGGCGCGGATGTGCAACACGGCCAACTGAAAGGATCGACGACGATCCATCCAGTGGCTCCAGTCCCAAGAACAGAAATTGTTACGTGCCCGCTCTGTCGCCGTGATCCGAATGCTCATGCGTATCGACCGCGGTCATCTAGCGACGAGAGGACAGACAAGAGAGTTCCGTGGCGTGGCTCGAGCGGAGAGCTTTCTTCGACGCGTGTGTACACACGCGCGTGTGCGTGCCCCCAGGTGAAACACACACGTACAGGGTGTCCCTGCACGCGATGCATGAAGCGACGCGCGGTGTAACGATGGTGTAAAAATGAACTATAAATCTAGAGTGATATATCCTCATTCTGGAAGAGCCACGTTTTATGGAAATTTAAGTTGAGAAGATCTTTGACTCCGTCACTTTTTTCGCGAAAAAATTGCGAAAAAAAGAGAGATCTATTTCATACTTTCTGCACTATGATAACAATTTCGTAATCAAGATCTCTCCCCGAAATCGAAATTCTTTTTCTCGAATTTTTAACTCTCTTTAACGCGAATATCCAAAGTTTGGAAATCGTTCGTCCAAACGTTAAATCCAACTCGAGAGGAATTGATAAAAAAAAATTCCTTCATTTTTTTTTTTCCTTCTTCTTTCGCGTATAATGATTGTCGATCATACGACTCGTTACAGGACACCGTGTATCCGTGCACACGGATACAAATACGGATTGTTATGCTGTGGTAGTTTGGCGGGACGATGAAATCCGTGCTGGTAGAGAGCGCGTGCACACGAACGAGCTCGTCAAAGGCGATTGTCCGTCCACGCGGAAGCAGAGCCACCGCTCGCGAGCATCTATCCCTCGATCGCCTCTCACTCGCAGAACACGTACACCTCGTGTCCCCGTACACGTTCCTCAGGCTCTTCTTGTATGCCGGTATTTTGGCGGCGGTGCGTGGATGTGCCAGTTACCTCCGCCCCGCGCCGCCTCTGCAACGTCCAAATTATCGAATAGGAGAGGCAGCAACGACGATGCTTTCGCGACGAACATTCCAAGGAGCGAGACACCTCGAACGATGACACGATGACTGGTGAAAAGTAGCTGCGTGTGATGCCTCTTCGTGTGCGTTATGGGCTGGGTTGGAGGCTGATTGTCTGGCGAGGATGGGTTGGACGATTCTTTTAGGCGAGTATTCTCGCGACGATGGAGGATTTAAGCATCGTTGAGCTTTCTAATTCGAGATTGGAGGTAAGGATTTGTTTTTTCTGGCAAAGATTTGACGATGCTTGGCAATTCTTGGTAGTAAGTATTCTTGCCACGGAGGGATTTAATATCGTTGAATTTTGAGTTTTTGTAGTTTGGGATGGATTGGAAGTTAGGTTAGGTTGAGTGGTTTAAAGATTGAAGAGTTCTTGATTCGTAAAATGCTTCGATATTTGCCGATTGTCTTGTTAATAATAATAATTTGTTTCAAATATTAAATTATTATTATCTTTTCGAGATATACATTTTTAATGCGAAATTATTACTTTATTATTGAATTAAATAATGATCCTCTCGATTAAATCGTAAACCGAGATCGAGTATATTACATCGATTCACCGTGCCTCGAATTGACCTACCTTTCTCGTCCAACTAAACTTCTAAAGCAAACGACGAAGCAGGAGACTTCAAAGGAAAAGCGATCGAGACGCAGAAGAAAAAAAAAAAAAACATCTCCCTCCCATGACTCAAACGATTTCTAGCCGGCTAATTACGCTTCCAACTGGTATCGTACGGGATCTATTTTAAGCACAACGTATCTCGAGTAACGTTACGCGGGCTGGAAAAGGCCATTGAATACCGACAACTGGATTCCAATTTTGCGTTTGCAACGCGTGCAACGCTCACGTATACGGGTACAGTGTCTAATAAATAGTGAGATCACAAATTATCGACTAATGGTAACGATTGGTATTGCTTCTTTTCTAACCTGTATTTAAACCTCGAGTGGTTCAAATCGCATAACATCGTATGACTCTTTTTTTAAGTTACGATCCTTTCTCGTAATATCCGATCAATTTAGCCTACATAAGCGAAAAGAAAAATTTAAAAAATACAATTTTCTCGTAACGGAATAGAGACACCACAATTAAAATAAAAATAGCCAATTGAAGATAGTCCCCTTTAAAATTACAAACTAGAATAACTACCGTCGAAATTTGTTCGATTTTTATCAAACGTCAATATTAAACATATTGCTATATAAAATAAAAAACGTTTCCAAGAGTAATTCAATTAATAACTAATACAAATTTCACTATGAATATGAAATTTCTACTTGAATAATTGCTTAAATATTTCACCAGTGTATAAATCCACGAATAATACCTAATTTCACGAAGTTAGCACGATGATCCCATCCTTAATCATCCCGCAATTCATCGCGCAAGGACAGTATTACGCGCAATACGTATTATACAGCTTGTTTTAATTCGATTGATCGGTGAACGAGTATGGAATAAGGTTTATGAATGCGGATGGCATTGTTGCCGTGGGTGGGTACACCGAATATGGCCGCGAGTTGGAAGATGAGTGTGGCCGATCGAGACGATGCCCGGCGAATAAGGACGTGACGTAGTTATATCCTCGCGTATAAGGAAAAGCGGATTCGCTGTTAATAGTCAATATGCATTAGAGAAACAATGAGCGGATCTTCGTGCCGCACACGACGACAGGCCGCGGGAGGATGTTGGCCGCGAGGCGATCCGCTCGCGGACACCTTCTGGAAATTTTTTTTACGATCGGGACGACTCATCGCGGTGTCCTTCGAGGGACCTCCTTCCTTTGAAACGTTTCGATCGGTCTACGTGGTGTCTTGTTTACGCAAACGCTTCAACCCTTTTCAAACCCGTTCGTTGCACGATTAAGCGTCGAAAATTGCAAATAATGATGAGTTTTTGGCCCGATTTGTGGATCTAGGAACGAGATTTCAACGATTTTCGACCCTTTCCAATGATATCATTCGCGTTTGTTGCGCGACCAAGCCTCAGAAATTATAAGTAAAAATGATGAATTTTCGATCGAATTCTCAATTTATAAACGTAATGCAAATTTAGGAACGACCTCAGAAATTAGAAATAACGATGAATTTTCGGTATAATTCTCGATTTGTAAATAAATAACGTGGGTTTAGAACGAGATTTCAACCCTTTATTTCGTTTGCTGCACGATTTTCGGCCGAATCTTCGATTTATGAACGAGATTTCGATTCTTTCCAATGATATTATTCGTTTGTTACGCGATTGAAGCATCAGAAATTATAAATAACGATGAATTTTCGGTATAATTCTCGATTCGTAAATAAATAACGTGGGTTTAGGAACGAGATTTCAATCTTTTTCGAGAAATAATAATGGACGATGGACGTTTTCGATCATGTCTCAGAAATTGTAAGATGGATTTATAATAAGAATAAGAATTAATTAATTTTCAATGATTGATAATTGTATAGGTTTATAGTAATTGATGAATATAATGTGAGTATTTAAGGATGAGGAGAGTTTAATTCTTTTCAGCGATATGATTAATTCGTTGCATCAATCACAGTAATTAATTTGTTATATAAAGTGATGTTCAATGGATTTATATCGAAGACTTTCGAGTATGCACTTGAAAGAGAGGAGATAGATTCGAGAACAAAACAGTATAGCATATACTTTCAATCATAATCAAATCTTAATCAAATACCAAAATTTTACGAAAATTTGCTCGTGTAAAAATTCCTATTATATTTCCTTTCTCCTAAAATTCTCGAGAATTCATAATTTCTGTATCAAACACACCCAATTATTTAAGACAATGACACATTAAATCTCGTTATCTAAGCGATTCGTATTACGTTCGCGGTAATTAATTCATTACAGATATATTCCTTAAATACTTTCAGTCCCAAATTTCCCACTGAAATGACTTCCCTCGACACGCTCAAATCAACGGTAAAAAGGAATATAAAGATGGATAATAATTGGATGTCACGAAATTTCACACGACTCGAGTATTAATCAATTTTATAATCGTATTTTTTCTTAGAAAAAAAAAAAAAAAAAAAAAAGGAAAGAAAGAAAAACTGTTCGTTTACTAAAGAAGGAAAAATAGCAAATAATAATTATTGTAAAAATTATATTATTGATGTTTGTTCAAGATATTGGCCATCGATAACTGGTATCTTAATGTTACTTAGTGATATTATGACATCAATAATATGACATTAAAAATATGATTCATAAATGTAATGCAACGACAAGTGTGAAATAAAAGAAAAAAAAAAAAACAAGACGCGCAACTATTTTTAATTTCCATAAATTTCGATATGTGATACATGTCCATTTTATTAAAACAAACGAACCATCACTTTTTTCCCTCCTACACAAAATTCTTACAAGATATTTTCTTATCTTATTCCAAGTTATTATCATCCAATTCTGATATGTATACAATAACAATTGTGCAATTTCATTTTAACCTAAACCTAAGAGAAGGGGAGCGAAAAAAAGTAAGGCAATAATTCGAGTAATTCACGCGTAATAATAACAATTTAAATCGGAACATTCTCATCTTCCTCTTACTCGCAAATATCTATAAAGGAAATAATCGCGTTTGATCGAGCATAAATTAAGATTTACAACAAAACAAGGCTCGACAAGGAAATTAAACGTTCGAGGGATTAATCTGAACAAGTGCAGTCGAATTCGTGTCGATTTCTTATCGTTTGTTTAATAACTCTTACACGTGTCGTTTTATCGCATCCGAAGATAAAGATTAACACCGAACTATATAACCAATGAAATAAAGAGAAGATATAATCAAGATAATAATCCTTACTTGCCCCGTTGCGAGAAACAACTCCAGGAAGTTGTTGATGATCGAGAAGAGATAAAAAAGAAAAAGAAGAAAAAAGGTAGAAGAGGTACAGGAAGAGAGGTGCATCGGAACCTTGGAGGTGGAGGAAATAAAAGATGCGAGAGATGTCTCTTTGGTAGACAGAAAAAAGAAGAAGAAGAAGAAGAAGAAGAAGGAAGGAAGAGAGGAGATAATTGTCCGACGAGGGGGGCATTGAAACGGAATTATCGAGAGGGCGGAGAATCAAAGAGCGAGATGGAGCGAGGGGGAGAAGAGGGGGAGCGAGAAAAGCGAGCCGTGTATACAGAGAGAGAGAGAGAGAGAAAGGTACGAGAAAGGCTGAGTAGGGAGGAAGGGAGGGGGCAGATTTATCGGGGAGAAAGGGGAGAAAATGGAGAACCACGGATGGAGAGGAGACGATGGTTACGGAGAAATCGAAGAGATGAAGGGAGACGTTCCTGGTAGCGGTGGAGAAACGAAATTTGAAACGATAAATCGCGTGTGAGATAAGGACGGGACGAGAGGTGGCCGGTGTAAAAGCGTGAGAAACGGAATATATATGTATTCAAATATAAATAGATATAAAGGAATGTAGTTGGAAATAGTACGAGGAAGGAAAATGTATCTATGATCTATTTGACTTTAAAATAACATAATCAATAATATTAGCGAGTTAATAAATTCGATATAGAATGGAAAGATCTCTTAGAATTTTGATAAACTTCACATCTTCCTCAAGAGCTTTCGAAAATTTCACTAATAACAGTTACATCAATTGTGCAAGACTTGTGCAACATCTTTACATTAACTTCAAGTATCCCCCTTCGAAATGGAATTTGTTTCGCGCGAGTGTACGGAAAGAAAAATTTTTTTAACCAAAAAAAAAAAGAAATTCAAAGTGTGCATGCTCCGTTTGATGAAAAAAAAAAATAAAGGAAAAAAGAAAAAGAAACGATTATTCCAAAAATAGCACGGTCGGAGAAACTCTTACACAACAAGAGCACCTAAAAATACGACGTAGCGATAGAAAGCAATCGTTTCTCCGAATAAAGATGCAAAGGAATGAAAGATGACGAGAGGAGGAAGAAGCGTTGTTGGTGGTGAAAGAGAAGGCAGGGCAGGTATTTCGAATGCGTATCACGGATCGCTACGAAATCTCGGATTCTATTAACGGAGAAATTATAACGGATTGACGGACGCAGGGAATGGATGCAAAGACGGATGGACGGAGAGCCGCGAAAGATTTCTCTTGAATCGTAAATACCGATCAGTCGCTTTGCCGGTTAGGCTCACGTTGCATTTTAAACCACTTCCCGGTGCATTCGCAAATTGTACCGGAGCAACGTGATGGACAAACGGGAGGAGATTGTGGTCGAGAGGTGGAGAAAAGAAGAGATTTTTACGAGGCAGTATTTTACGTGGAGGAAATACGGTTGAACATCGCCTCGATTTGGATGAAGAGCAATAAGAAAAGTCTCGTTTGAGGAATTAATCAAGTAAGACCTTTTACTAGATAGAAAAATATATGTATGTGATGCAAATGGTTAGAATTGGAAAAATTGATGGTGGCTTACTGATGATCGAATTTTTCTCGACATTTCTAAATTTATTTTATATATGGGATTGAATTCACGTTCCTTTAAATGAATTTTTACATAATGATGGAATGATAAGTATTCTATGAGTTTCTTGATCCATATGATGTATCGAGGCATGCATTTTAATTAAGCGTAAAGCAGTCGTAATTGAAGCTTAAAAGCAGAGAGAAAGAAAAAAATTGACTCACCATGTATAGCGTACGTTGATATTTCTATAACTTCTTTTTCTTTTTCTTCTTCTTCTTCTTCTTCTTCTTCTGTAATTTCTCTTCATCTCTCAGCAGAAAGAAAGAAAAAAATTGACTCACTATGTACAGCGTGCGTTGATATTTCTATAACTTTTTCTTCTTCTTCTTCTCCTCTAACTTCTTCCTCTAACTTCTCTTCATCTCTCATTCTGAAAATTATTAAAGAATCGTTAAAAATTAATTGTTGAAACATCGTCTAAAATGCAATGTATATTTTTAAAAGTATTATTATTTATTGGATTGCAAACACAATGTAAATTAATGATTTTACGAGATATTAATAATTTTTGTAGATGAAACGAATCTATTCGTTCGAATTCTATGACGGAAAAAAAAAAAAAATTGAAGAACATTGAAGATTGACAGACGTCTCGCAAACATGAGATCAGTAATTTGGCGTGCCAAACAACGGTAAATTTAAGAACAAATTTTATTTTGTTAAAAAAATGAAAATTTTTTAAGGTTCGTAAATTATAAAATCATTAGCTATTAACTTCCAGATATTCCACTAAGAAATATAATCGATCATTCGATTTTTATATCTCCTTCAGGTTCAAAGAATCATGTGTTTGGTTAATTACAATTTTGTAATCAGATGCTATCTTTGACAATAATAAATTATCTTCGATACCATCACCAATTACTATTATTAAATGTCTATTTCAATGTTATATTGAATATAAATCATCGTTTTTTATCCAAGATATGATTGGGTTACTTTCAACAATTAAAGATCAATCACATGAAAATTTTAACAATAAGAATTCTGTCCTGATATACAAATAATTTTATGATTATTGGAGTAAAAGTTTGCTAAATGGTCGTTCTACGAACAAAGTTTATAGCAAATAATAGCGCGTACAAAAAGAACGCGCTTCGATATCCTTTCACGATGTACGAGCAGAAAAATGCTGTATACACAAAGAAAAATTCACATATTTACGACAATAAAAACTTCAATCCAGATGGTATTTATGAAAAAAAAAAAAAAAAAAAACAATTGTTGCAATTTTTTAAAATAAATTTTCTAACCTATTTTCTTCCCTAGATATCACTACAGTTTATAAACATCCGGATGTTACTTATATCTGCGAATATATAAAAGACAAATTTTATTTTGCAACGTTATCCAACGGTCGAAAAGAAGTGAAAAGCACATTTCATATCCACTTTTTTACAATCGATGACGAGCTAGTTTATAATAATTTCTATCATGACTTTGGTCCCTTAAATCTTGCTTGTTTATACAAGTAACAATTTTAAATATTTTTACACTTTTAGAATTTAATAATTATCCCCCCTTCTTCATAAGATTTTGTTTTTGATTCACAATATTTTTAATTTCTTAAAGATTATTCTTTATATATTTTTAAAAAAAATATATATATATATTACTAACAGATATTGCTATAAGGTAAACAAAAAACTAGAGAGTCCAGGAAATGAGCACAGACAAATTGTGCACTATACTTCGCAACGAGAGCATAAAAGAGCAAATGCAGCGTATTTAGTCGCCTCTTTTGCAGTATTATACTTGAACAAGAGTCCAAGAGAAGCTTATAATACTCTTTTTATGGGAGGCGAAATTCCTATAAAACCGTTTCGAGATGCTTCTATGGGATCAGCCATTTATAGCATTCATTTGTTAGGTGATATAATTTAAATTTATATTAAAATCAAACTGAAATATTAATTTAATATTATTATTTGAATAATCATATATAATTGTATAATTATATTATTTAATTATTTTAATAAAAATAGATTGCTTAAATGCGCTTAAGAAAGCAGCATCTTTTGGCTTCTTTAATTTTAACGATTTTGATGTGGTTGAATATGAAAAATACGAAGACATGAGAAATGGTGCTTTAAATTGGATGGTACCGCAAAAGTTTCTGGCTTTCGTTGGTCCAAGCACGGAACCAGGCACTCCCTATCATCCTCCTGAATGTTATATCGATTATTTTTTACAAAACGAAGTCACTGCTGTAGTTAGATTGAATAAGAAAGCGTACAATGCATCAAGGTAAAATCTATTTAAAGCTTTTTAATATCTTTAATTTCTAATAATAAATAATGCTAAGGAAATAATATTATTCTTTTGAATTCTTGGGAATTCTTAAATGATACTTTTATATAAATTTAATTAATTTGAAATATAGAACTGATATAATGTTTCAAAAATAGGTTCACCGAAGTAGGAATCACGCACTACGATATGTTCATGCCAGACGGCACGGTACCACCAAAAAGAATATTGAATGAATTTTTGAATTTAAGCGAAAACACTAGTGGACCTATCGCAGTTCATTGCAAAGTAACTTGTGAAACTTTAATTAATTTGAGTAATTTTATTTAAACTATTTATAATAATGTAACTATTTTTAATAATTTTTCTATTTATTTTTTACTCAGGCTGGACTGGGAAGAACAGGTTCATTAATTGCTGCATTCTTAATAAAACATTATAAAATGACAGCAAGAGAAGCTATTGCTTGGATAAGAATTTGCAGGCCTGGTTCCGTTATAGGACACCAGCAATCTTGGTTAGAAAATATTGAGAAAATTTTGTTGAATGCTGGTCATCAATATAAGTAATTCATATTTTCTCTATTTTATATATACATACATAAATAATATGAAATAAATTTTTTATTATACGCAAAAAAAGAAATTTAAAAAAAAGAAAACTCCTTTTTGTATTATTAATTTTCAAGAGAATAAAAAAAAATTTCATAATTATTGTGTACTATAATTGTTAATAATACAAGTAAGTTAAATAATATAATAAATACCTGATTTATGATAGTGTATTTTTTTGTAGATTGAAGTATTATGGTGATAGCGATATAATATTACACCATAAATATGGAATATATTCGATCGCGGAAAAGGCAGAAAGGAAAATAACATACACATCCGAAGGAGAAAAATACAGGTAAGATTTTATATCTATTCCTAAAATCAATCAATGAATTTATAAGAAAATAATGTTTAGAGAACAGTATATTTATAATACATATATATATATATATATACTAGTATATATATATATATATATATA